GGCTCCATCTGACTGATTAGACTTCTCACCATCATCTTTTTTGATTTTAACTGCTGCTGCTTCCAGAAACACTTGCCTCAAGTGTCAGGAATGATTAGAACCTTTTGTTAGATACGTCATCCAGCAAAGACAGTGTGGAATGGTGAATCTTATCACATTCTTTAAAAAATGAATTTCAACTTCAGCTGATTTTGTCTGTTTTATTGTTCATTTTGAGTTCTCTAACTCTCTATAATGTTTTCGTTTCATTTGTTAAATTTAGCTAACAGTGAGCCTGTTTTTATAATTCCTCCTTTGAAGGATATTTTTGGCTAACTCTTAGCATCTCTGTGGCTAACTGTTGGTTATATTTTATATTTAGTTGTTTGTTTTTACATTAAGCTGTTTGTGGTAAATCTTTGAATAAACATTAAGCTGTTTGTGGTAAATCTTTGACAGAAGGGTCTGAAACAGGACAGAGAGAATTTTTCCGGACACTTTCCCGTTCCTTGGGCCTCAAACATCTCTTTGTTTACCTGCTTTCTACAAACTTGAGCCTGGAAGCTTTGAGTTCCTGCTTTTTTGAGACCTTTCAGTCATGACCCTGAGTGTGTGTTGTTTAAATCCAAATATAACCCAGTCACAGGTTTTTGACCTGATTGACTTCTGATTGGCTCATTAACCTTACAGGGGCTTTTGGGTCATGGTTTCATGTCTTCCCACCAGCAGCACTGATGGTAATGACTGAGGGCCCCTCAGGGGCCGAGGTGGACAGACCTGATTTACACAGCGTCCTGTCTCCAGGGGGCGTGGTCAGGTGGGTCACGAAGACAGTAGGCGTTAGGTAGTAGGTCAGTGAGACGGGGGCGTGGTCAGGTTGGTCAAGTAGGTGTTGATCAGTTTGAGTTTGACGAAGTTTAGTGAAGTATAGTTCAGATAAAAGTGAAAGGTTTTGCTGCTGCAGTTACCAGTCGTTACCACAAAGAAAGAAGAGTCCGAAACTCACACAATCAACCATAATAACGAGTCTTTTCTGTCCAAAATGTTTTTGTCTGATGTTCTTCTGGTTCCTCTGCCGATTGTTTTCCACAGAAGGAGAAGAAAACTTTGAGTTCATCATCGTGTCTCTGACTGGACAGACGTGGCATTTTGAAGCCACATCGTATGAAGAACGAGACTCTTGGGTCCAAGTAATCGAGAGTCAGATCCTGGCCAGCCTGCAGTCCTGTGAAAGCAGCAAGAACAAGGTGAGCTCCTGATCCAGGACTGGATTTACATAAATTGTACCAAAATGTCCACAAAAAAAATCTGAAAAATAGGCAATTGTAGAAGTTAATTATTTAGAAAAGGGAACATTTTTACATTTTTATGACTATTTGGAAAATTATAGAAATGTAACACGATCTGATCCCTAATACAGGGAGTGATTTATGAGTCATATAGGTGCCCTTAGGTTTTGAATATATGTACATATATGTATATGCACACACGCACACTCATGTGTATGTGTGTTTATATGCACACGCGCACACACAGCCCCAGCGTCTCTGTTCCCATTTTCAGCACCTCCATCTCCTCACTCCTCCTTTTCTTTCCTCCTTCACTCACAGCCTGTTCATATTCATGTTTATGCCTTAGGCTCTAACCCTGTTACTGCCCCCCCACCCCCACCCACTCCCTCCTTTCGACCCATCCTCACCTTCCCCCAACTCTGTTTGTTTGCTGTTATTTCTGCTTTTCAACTGTGTTTCCACTGTACTGTATATACATGTACTCATTTACTCTAAACCTTTGGAGTGAATTCAACAGTGCATTTATTTTCTTTTTGTTTTTTCTCCTCTTAGTCTCGTCTGACCAGCCAGACGGAGGCCCTGGCGCTGCAGTCCATCAGAAACATCCGCGGGAACGCTCACTGTGTGGACTGTGAAGCTCAGAGTCAGTGAAAGCTTCGTCCTCCCTAAAAATCAGAAGAAATGACCAAATGTTAGCGTGGTTGGCCAGAATATTGTTAGAAATGAATGAAGCAAATCAATGAGAAAGTCTACCACACATTTCCCAACAGTGGCAAGATGTTAGTCACTGATGCACAATTCACATAACTGACAAACACAATGAAGGGCATTCTGAAAAAGACATAAATGTTAGCCAACAGTTGGCTTCAGTTGGAGAATGTTAAAGATTAAGAGTTAGCATAATAATAATAATAATCAGCTCAGTTAGGGCTGGTCTGCTGATAGTGAAATGTTTAACCATAATAAACTCCAGGTGAAATTCAATGTTGACTTATGTCCAATTAAAACCTTAGCTACATATTGTTTTCAGACTGATTGTTTATATTTGTCATCCTTGCTGCTACAGACCCTGACTGGGCCAGTCTCAACCTTGGTGCCCTCATCTGCATCGAGTGTTCGGGGATCCACAGAAACTTGGGAACTCACCTGTCAAGGGTCCGGTCTCTGGACTTGGATGAGTGGCCGTTAGAACTCATCAAGGTCCTGTCCTCCATCGGTAACGAAGTAGCCAACAGCGTGTGGGAAGCTAACGCTCAGGGACGACTAAAACCTGGACCGGAAGCCAGCAGGTGAGTCAGAGCAGCTTGATACTCAGGGTCCAGTCACAACCATGGCCTGGGGTGGACGTACTGACCATGTACTGCTCCACAGTAAATATCTGTCTCACCCCTGGCAGGACTGGCATTTAAAATTTCTAATAAAATCTTTGCATTTAACAAAATTCAAAAAGAAAAAAAAAATACTATTCAAAACCAAAAACTGTGTAAGGACAGCAAAATATGAGTCAACTTTTAAATTCAAATTTTTTTTTTTCAAATTTCCAAAGAAGATTAACTATCACATTTCCAGCCTCTTTGTAGAATTCTAGAAACCTTGGTTATTTGACTATTTTAAAAAATCCCTGAAATTCTGAGGTCAGAAAATTAGATTTAAAATTCAATTGTTACAGGTTTAAATAAAAACAGAATTAAAGACAGAGAAGATGTTTTCAAAAAGGAAGAAGTCCTGAGGTCTGTGTGTTTAGCTGTAAGTGTGTGTGTGTGTGTGTATGTATGTGTATGTGCATGTGCAGTCGACTGTCGTTCATGTACCAGCAGTCACAGTAACAGTCATCATAACAAATTAGAGTCGACTGTCGTTCATGTACAGATCGACTTCCCCTTTACTCCCCCACTAATCCCCCAACACTCATTAGTCAACAGAAGTACTTTATAATGACTACACACATACTGTACACACCCAAATGCACACACACACACACACAGACACACACAGACTCCCCTGATTTAACTGAACGTACATAAACGCACTGTTCATTTAATGTCAAAATGACTGGTGAAACCTGTGAAACCACATTCAATTCATTCATTTTAATGGAGTGAAAAATAAACATAAAAACAATTTGAGTAAATATTAATTATAAACCTGTGTGACCCAGGAGTAAATAAAAATAAAAGTATTAAATCATCATTTTTTTAAATGAAAAACAAATGAATGTTTTAAGCTGATGGCAACCTACATTTAAATTACAATTAAAAAATAAATGACATCAATTATAACTTGTTACATCTGAGTAGCAATTTAATGAGTAAAAACACACATCAATAAATAATTACAATTTAATAATTTTTAAACACATTAAAAAATAACGTCGAGAAAATTTCCAAAATTATAAAAATAAATATTCTCTTAAAAACAGTATAAGGACATTTTACAACAATTTTGATTTAAGTTAAAGCTATCTTTGCTAGTCTTTATAAAATACGAAATACTAAAATAATGATTTTAAAAATTGGAAAATAAAATGTTTTATCAAAAATTCAAATGTTAACAATAAATAATCGATGGAAGAATCTTTAGACTAATAGATAAAACATCAACTTTAGATCAAATAAAATGTGTTTAGATCAAATTTTAAATAAACTGCTCTGTTTAATTTAATTTTAATATTGGCCTTCGTGCAAATGTATCAGTATGAATGGATCACTGTCATTTCTTGAAATGAGAAGGAACAGTTTATTCACCGTCGGCTCTCGCATGCACACATTTGGTCATTACGCCACTCTGTGTGTGTGTGTGTGTGTGTATTGACATAGTCATTATCTGCTTCTCCATCTCTGCTCTAATGATTCTTTTATTGTTGCTCATGTTCTTATTTATCTACGAAGCAGCAGTAGATTAGAGTCGATGACGCTGCTGCTGCTGCTGCCGCTGCTGCTGGCGTGGGTGGGTCGGCTGCGTCGGGTGGCGTCTGGCGGCG